CCGCATAACGATATTAATCCGTTCCTGAGAGCTCATTGTTATGCGAAATTATCGTTATGCGAATGAATTTTCCCCATAAGAAATAATGGAAATCAAATTAATCCGTGCAAGACACCCCAAAGTATGGAAAAAAAAATTTTACCACATGAAATATTAATTTTAATACACACAAACTGAAAAAGGCATGCACAGTTACATGACACTTACCTTTATTGAAGATCTGGTGATGATTGATGGGATGGGAGGAGGAGAGAGTCTTAGTGTTTAGAAGGGGAATCCCCTTCCATTAACCCTTTGAGGGTCGACAGGCCCTCTCCGAAACTCGTTCTCAGGGTTGGCCAAATTTAAAAAAAAAAAAAAATTATTTTTTCTTATGAAAAGATAGAGAATCTTTTCCCGATCATAAAGACACCAAAAGTTTGAAATTTGATAGAAAACTTACGGAATTATGCTCTCGCAAAGTTAGCGGTCTCGGCGATGTTTACGCATCGGCGATTTTGCCCACTTTGTGCCCCATTTTCGGCCAATTTCACTGTACTAGTCGACAAAAAACATGAATATTTCGCTAGAACTCCATTTTTTTCTATCGAATGGGTGCAAGAAACCACTCATTTATGAAATTCAACTATCCAGTACAGTGGTCAGAATTTTTGCAATTTTGCCAATTCCACACAAATTTCAAAAGATGCCAATTTCCGAATAGGGTCCAGAATAAACAAGAAAGACATTCCTGGCACTAAAATGACATTTCCTCTAGTCATTATTCACGTCTCAAGGCCCCTCTTATATTCTTTTGCTTTCCACTTTGAATTTTTATTTTCACAAAAAATATAAGATTTACTGTTATGCAGACTACTGCATTAGTGTAAAAAATGGTATAAATATTATTGGTGCACTTGTGAAAGAATATTAGACTCACCAGTTGACGTGTATTGCACGCTTGGCACGATTTGTTTACTTTTGAAGTTTGGTAAAAATCGAACATTTCTGCTACTTTGAGCTCAATTTCAAGGCACCTTTCTTTGTAAAACCAGTCAAAATCATCTCTATTTCTGTAATATGTCTTCCATTCTATAAAATGAGACCAAGAAAACTAGAATACAACAATAAATACCATACGAAAATACACTGCAAAGTCGCTGATTTATTCAAAAAAAATGGTCAAAGTTTTTTTTTTCTCATTATGCACTGTGTGCTGCAGGATTTTTTTTAGACTGTGCACACTGACCACATAGACACATTCTTTCATATGAAGGCCTACCAGCTTTCTCCCACTAGATTTGAGGCCACTAGAATTTATGAGTACTAGTACGTCAAAAACCCCTACGCGTAAGATGTACTAGTACGACGAAAACCCTCAAAGGGTTAAGACTTGAGGTGTCAAGTCCTTTTCTGGGGTTACTTCCCTTCTTCTTTTAATGCCACTAGGACCAGCTTCAGAGTCACTGGACTTCTGTCGCACAACATATCTGTCCATAGTGGCCTGTACCTCTCGTTCCTTTGACTTCCCTAAAGTGTTTCACAACAGTGTCATTGTAATAGTCACCAGCACGGCTTGCAATAGCTGTGTTAGGGTGATTGTCATCAAAAAAGGTTTGCACTTTAAACCACATTGCACACATTTCCTTAATCTTTGAAATAGGCAACTTCTTCAATTTCTCTCTCCCCTCCTCCGAACCAGTTTCCTCAGGTCTGGCCTCTTGCTGTTGAAGTTGATCTAGCAGCTCATCAGTGGTTAGTTCTTTATTGTCCTCCTCCACCAACTCGTCCACATCATCCCCACTAACCTCCAACCCCAAGGACTTTCCCAATGCCACAATGGATTCCTCAACTGGCATACTCCTCTCAGGGTTAGCCTGAAACCCTTCAAAATCCCTTTGGTCTACACATTCTGGCCACAGTTTCTTCCAAGCAGAGTTCAAGGTCCTCTTAGTCACTCCCTCCCAAGCCTTACCTATAAGGTTTACACAATTGAGGATATTAAAGTGATCTCTCCAAAACTCTAAGAGAGTCAATTGAGTTTCTGAGGTCACTACAAAGCACCTTTCAAACAGAGCTTTTGTGTACAGTTTTTTGAAGTTTGCAATAACCTGCTGGTCCATGGGCTGCAGGAGAGGAGTGGTATTAGGAGGCAAAAACTTGACCTTAAGGAAGCTCATGTCCCCACAGAGTCACTCTGCCAAGTCTGTAGGATGACCAGGGGCATTGTCTAACACCAGGAGGCACTTAAGGTCTAATTTTTTTCAATTAGGTAATTTTTCACATTGGGGGCAAATGCTTGGTGTAACCAGTCATAGAAAAAGTCCCTAGTGACCCATGCCTTACTGTTTGCTCTCCACAGCACACACAAATAAGCCTTGAGGATATTCTTTTGCCTGAACGCTCTGGGAGTTTCAGAGTGACACACTAATAAAGGCTTCACTTTGCAATCACCACTAGCATTGGCACACATTAACAGAGTAAGCCTGTCTTTCATAGGCTTATGTCCTGGGAGTGCCTTTTCCTCCTGAGTAATGTAGGTCCTGCTTGGCATTTTCTTCCAAAACAGGCCTGTTTTGTCACAATTAAACACTTGTTCAGGTTTCAGTCCTTCACTGTCTATGTACTCCTTGAATTCCTGCACATATTTTTTCAGCTGCTTTGTGGTCCGAACTGGCAGCCTCACCATGCCTTATTACACTATGTATGCCACTACGCTTCTTAAATCTCTCAAACCAACCTTTGCTGGCCTTAAATTCACTCGCATCATCACTAGTTGCAGGCATTTTTCTAATTAAATCCTGATGCAACTTCCTAGCCTTTTCACTTACGATCGCTTGAGAGATGCTATCTCCTGCTATCTGTTTTTCGTTTATCCACACCAATAAGAGTCTCTCAACATCTTCTATCACTTGCGATCTCTGTTTCGAAAACACAGTTGCACCTTTGGCAAGAACAGCTTCCTTGATTGCCGTTTTCTTGGACACAATAGTAGCGATGGTTGATTGGGGTTTACTATACAACCTGGCCAGCTTGGAGACACGTACTCCACTTTCATACTTAGCAATGATCTCTTTCTTCATCTTCATAGTAATTCTCACCCTTATTCCTGTAGGGTTGGCACTAATAGCTTTGTTGGGGCCCATGGTCAATTACTTTGCAGATGAAATCACCAAAAACGCTGTAATAATACGAAATGTTCCGATTGTATGCTTGGATGTTACCGTGGAGGCTGGCTTGTAAACAATGCCACCGGCGGAACATGTGAGGCTGGCTCAGGCCGCACATAGACGCGTCTCGGACGAATAGTGTTGAGCGAGTTTTTTAGCGCTATGCGAGGCAAAATTTTAGCGATAAAATGTATCGCTATGCGGATTTAACGTTATGTGATGCCAACGTTTTGTGAGGGTGCACTGTATTGGAAATCAAATTAATCCGTGCAAGACACCCAAAAGTATGAAAAGAAAAAATTTTTACCACATGAAATATTAAGTTTAATGCACACAAACTGAAGAAGACATGCACAGTTTGTAGTACTCTACTAACATAGAATACATGACACTTACCTTTAATGAAGATCTGGTGATGATTGATGGGATGGGAGGAGGGGAGAGTGTCGAAGTTGTTAATGTTTAGAAGGGGAATCCCCTTCCATTAGGACTTGAGGTAGCAAGTCCTTTTCCGGGGTTACTTCCCTTCTTCTTTTAATGCCACTAGGACCAGCTTGAGAGTCACTGGACTTCTGTTGCACAACATATCTGTCCATAGAGGCCTGTACCTATCGTTCGTTTATGACTTTTCTAAAATGGTTCACAACATTGTCATTGTAATAGTCATCAGCACGGCTTGCAATAGCTGTGCGAGGGTGATTGTCATCCATAAAGGTTTTCACCTTTGTCCACATTGTACACATTTCTTTAATCTGTGAAGTAGGCAACTTCTTCAATTTCTCTATCCCCTCCTCCGATGCAGTTTCCTCAGGTCTGGCCTCTTGCTGTTGATGATCTAGCAACTCATCAGTGGTTAGGTCTTCATTGTCCTCCTCCACCAACTCTTCCACATCCTCCCCACTAACCTCCAACCCCAAGGACTTCCCCAATGCCACAATGGATTCCTCAACTGGCATACGCCTCTCAGGGTTAGCCTCAAATCCTTCAAAATCCCTTTTGTCTACACATTCTGGCTACAGTTTCTTCCAAGTAGAGTTCAAGGTCCTCTTAGTCACTCCCTCCCAAGCCTTACCTATAAGGTTTACACAATTGTGGATATTAAAGTGATACTTCCAATACTCTTTTAGAGTCATTGGAGTGTCTGTGGTCACTTCAAAGCACTTTTGAAACAGCTTTTCTGTACAGTTTCTTGAAGTTGGAAATGACCTGCTGGTCCATGGGCTGCAGGAGAGGAGTGGTATTAGGAAGCAAAAACTTGACCTTAATGAAGCTCATGTCCCCAGAAAGTCGCTCTGCCAAGTCTGTAGGATGACCAGGGGCATTGTCTAATACCAGGAGGCACTTAAGGTCTAATTTCTTTTCAATCAGGTAATTTTTCACATTGGGGGCAAATGCATGGTGTAACCAGTCATAGAAAAATTCCCTAGTGACCCATGCCTTAGTGTTTGCCCTCCACAGCACACACAAATTAGCCTTGAGGACATTGTTTTTCCTGAATGCTCTGGGAGTTTCTGAGTGATACACCAATAAAGGCTTCACTTTGCAATCACCACTAACATTGGCACACAACAGAAGAGTAAGCCTGTCTTTCATAGGCTTATGTCCTGGGAGTGCCTTTTCCTCCTGAGTAATGTAGGTCCTGCTTGGCATTTTCTTCCAAAACAGGCCTGTTTCGTCACAATTAAACACTTGTTCAGGTTTCAGCCCTTTACTGTCTATGTACTCCTTGAATTCCTGCACATATTTTGAATTCCCCATGTACTTTATTTATTCTTATCTAACACAACCTAAAAGACCTGACTATTCAGTATGAAATAAGAGAGAGAAATAACCTATTTTCTTCATTGACAGAGAACAAGCCCTGCGAGAAGCATCTCAGGCTTATCTTTTCAAGAGGTGTGATCGTGTTACTGCTCCAGAAGTGAAATTTCCATACGTATTTGACACTTACAACAAAGCCAGGCAGGCTGCTGGTAAGATGCTGCTGTTTTATTCCAACCAACTTGGAGAAAAGGTTGCTATATTAACAAAATAAAATTGATCAGAATATTTTGAAGAGTTATTCAAGGTTGGTTTCCCTGCAAGGGAATGCCTTTATGGAGAGAGGAGAGAGTCTTTATTCTAGGAATTGGCACTACCCTCCTCATCCTTGGATCAAACCTAATTATTTCCATTTCCAGGCTTTGTGTGACCCCTATGACTTCTCTCTGAATATACAGTTCAAATAGTTTAATTCACAGATATCCTCAAACATGAGAGAAGAAACTCTATAAAGTTGTTTTAGTCCATCCTGGATATTATAATGTTATGTGATGGATGAAATAAAAGTTTTGTATTAATAATAATAATCTCTGTTAATTGCATCACTCTTGATGTCAGTTAAAATTTGTGATCATTCTTTAATTAGGAACTAGCATTTTATTGTACTTTCAAAATAACTCCCATGTTTTTAGCTTGTCCAATTGTCAATAACAGTTTTTTAATTTTTAGAAGTTAAATTCTTTTTTTTTTTTTTTTTTTTTTTTTTTTTTTTTTTTTCCTCAACAAGTCGGTCGTCTCCCACCGAGGCAGGGTGACTCAAAAAAAAAAAAGAAAGAAAATCCCCAAAAAGAAAATACTGTCATCATAGTCAACACTTTCCCCACACTCACACTTATCACTGCTTTTGCTGAGGTGTCAGAATATAACAGTTTTAGAAGCATATACGTCTAGAGATACACAAAATCCCTCCAAACTGCAATGATCCAAACCCTCCTTTTAAGTGCAGGCATTGTACTTCCCATTTCCAGGACTCAAGTCCGACTATATGAAAATATTATTATTTTTAACTTATCTGTTATTACCTTGTACTAAACTGATAAGTATAAAGAGCTCTCAACTATGTAATTTTTTAATACAGTGGAACTTTGGTTTTTATCATTAATTTGTTCCAGAAAGTCTGACAAAATTTTGAATTCAGCGAAAACTGAAGCAATATTTCCCGTGAGAAATAATGTAAACCCAATTAATCAATTCCAGACACCCAAAAGTATTAACAAAAAATACATATACAAGCATCTTTTATATAGTATTAGGTTGGTAGACAGCAGCCGCCCATGGAGGTACTACCGTCCTGCCAAGTGAATGTAAAATGAAAGCCTGCAATTATTTTACATGATGGTAGGATTGCTGGTGTTTTTTTTTCTCAAAAAAAATGACAAGGTTTCATGGTACGTCTGACTACTTATGCTTACACTAAAAGTCCACACTACACTACAATGTACAAGCAATATATACACACCCCTCTGGGTTTTCTTCTATTTTCTTACTAGTTCTTGTTCTTGTTACAAGCATATATATACACCCCCCCCTGGGTTTTCTTCTATTTTCTTACTAGTTCTTGTTTGTTTATTTCCTCTTATCTCCATGGGGAAGTGGACAGAATTCTTCTCCGTAAGCTATGCTTTGTTGTACGAGGCGACTAAAATTGCCAGGAGCAAGGGGCTAGTAACCTTCTCCTGTAAATATTCTCTAAATGTGGAAAAGGAGAGAACCCTTTTGTTTTTCCATGTGGGCCACCGCTCAGTGGGATATGGCCAGTGTGTGAAAGAAGAAAGAAAACTATACAAAATAGTTTTGATTGGTAGTGGTTGGTAGACAGCAACCACCAGGGAGGTACTATCGTACCTGAAAGTGAGTGTAAAATGAAAGCCTGTATAGGTTTTAAATAGATGGTAGGATTGCTGGTGTCTTTTTCTGTCTCATAAGATGCAAGATTACAGGTATGTTTGCTACTTCTACTTAAACTTAGGTCACACTACACATACATGTACCCGTTATTTTACACACTCATCTGAGTTTTCTTTGATTTTTCTTATTAGTTCTTGGTCTTATTACTTTTCTTTTATATCGATGGGGGGAAGTGGAATAAGAATCGGTCCTCCGTAAGCCTTTGCGTGTTGTAAATGTCAACTAAAATGCTGGGAACAATGGGCTAGTAAACCCCTTTTCTGTAAAGATTTACTAAAAGAGTAATAAGAAGAAAAATTGTCAAGTTGGGGAAGTCTGAATGTGTGTGGATGTAGTGCAATGTTAACAAAGAGATGATTGTGAATGTTATGAATGAGAAGAAGCTGGATGTCCTGGCTTTAAGTGAAACAAACCTGAAGGGGGTGGGAGAGTTTCAGTGGAGAGGAATAAATGGGATTAGGTCAGAGGTTCCAAATAGTTAGAGATAAAGAAGGAGTAGCAATAATATTGAAGGATAAGATTGCTGGTTTCTTTTTCTGTCTCATAAACACGCTAGATAACAGGGATATCTTGCTACTCCTACCTACACTTTGGTCACACTTCACAGACACGCACATGCATATATATATACATACATCTAGGTTTTTTCTCCTTTTTCTAAATAGCTCTTGTTCTTCTTTATTTCTTTTTTGTACTATGTCCATGGGAAGTGGAAAAGAATCTTTCCTCCGTAAGCCATGCGTATCGTATGAGGCGACTAAAATGCCGGGAGCAATGGGCTAGTAACCCCTTCTCCTGGACATTTACTAAAAAAGAGAAGAAGAAAAACTTTCTAAAACAGGATGCTTAAATGTGTGGGGATGTAGTGGCGGATGACAAAGAAACAGATGATTGCTGTGTTATGATGAAAAGAAGTTGGATTGTCTGAGCCCTAGTGAAACAAAGCTGAAGGGGGTAGGGGAGTTTCGTGGGGGTAAATAATGGGGTTAAATCTGGGTTCTGAGAGTGTTAGAGCAAAAGGAAGGGCGTAGCAGTAATGTTGAAGATCAGTTTATGGAAGGAGAAAAAGAGAAATATGAATGTGTTAATTCAAGAATTATGGGATTTAAAAGTAAAGGTTGGATGCGAAAGTGGGTTATAATAAGCGTGTTATGACTGGAGAAGAGAGGAATGTAGAGGAGAGAGAGAGATTTTGGGAGATGTTAAGTGAATGTAATAGGAGCCTTTAAAGGAAGTGAGGAAGAAGTATTTGTGGTAGGGGATCTGGGGGAAAATGCTAAAAGTAGGAGAAACTTTTAGAGAGGGTGTGGTAGGTAAAGTTTGGGGGCTGCCAGGTGTAAAGATAATGGGAGCCCTTTGATTGAACTTTGTATAGAAAGGGGTTTTAGTTATGGTAATTACATATTTTAAGAAAAAAGAGGATAGTAAATAGTATACAGATCCGATGTTAGGGTGAAATGACAGTTAGTTTGTTGGATTATGTATTGGTGATAAAAAGACTGTTGAGTAGACTTAAGGATGTACTGTTTATAGAGGGGCCACAGATTTGTCAGATCACTTTCTTGTTGTAGCTACCTGAGAGTAAAAAGGTAGATGGGATACAAGGAGAATAGAAGAATCAGGGAAGAGAGAGGTGAAGGTTTAATAAACTAAAAGAGGAGGCAGTTAGGGTAAGATATTAACAGCTATTGGAGGATAAGATGGGCTAATGAGAGCCTAGGCAATGGGTTCGAAAGAGGTATATGGGGTAGCGTTTAAAAATGTAGTGTTAGATTGTTCAGACAGAAAGAAGTTTGTGGTTAAGGAAAGTGGGTGCGGAAGGGAAGAGGAGCGTCTTGGTGGAATGAGGATGTAAAGTGAGTAGTAAGGAGAAAAAGTTAGCATATGAGAAGTTTTTTACAAAGTAAGAAGTGATGCAAGGAGGGAAGCAGTATATGGAGAAAAAGAGAGAGGTTAGTACGGTGGTGAAGCAATGAAAAAGGAGCAGATGAGAGAGGGGTGAGATGTTCCAACAAATTTTGTTTGAAAATAAGGAAAAAGTTTTGGGGGAGATTACAAGGTTAAGGAAAGCCTAGAGAAATAAATGATTTGTCAGTTAAAATAGGAAGAGGGAGTTATTAAATTGGAGAGTTAGATGTATTGGGAAGATGAGGGAATCTTTCGTAGGAATTGTTAAAGGGTTGATGAAGATTAGGGAAGCTGTGATTTGTTGTATAGGGCAAGGAGGAATAAAATCTTGTAGGAGTGAGGGAAGAGCTGTTTGTGAGTGTTGAGGAAGTTCGTGAGGCAGTAGGTAAAATGAAAGGGGGTTAAGGCAGCCGGGATTGATGGGATAAGATAGGATATGTTAAAAGCGGTGGGATATAGTTTTGGAATGGTTGTGCAATTATTCAATAAATGTATGGATGAGGGTAAGGTACTTGGGATTGGCAGAGGAGAACATGCATAGTCCTTTGTATAAAGGCAAGGGGACAAAGATGAGTGCAAAAATTAATAGGGGAGATAAGTCTGTTGAGTTATACCTGGTAAAGTGTTTGGTAGGTTTTCATTGAAAGAATAAGAGTAAGATCGGAGAATAGGATAGCAGATGAAACAAGGAGGGCTCTTTAGGAGGAGTAGGGGGTGTAGTGGACCACGTGTGTTTACAGTGAAAACATATAAGTGAACAGTATTAGATAAGGCTAAGAGTCTTTGTGGCATTCTGGGATTTGGAAAAGGCGTATGACAGGGTGGATAGTGTTTTTTAGGGCAATGTGGCAGACAGATGTAGCGGTGTTTGGTGTGTAGGAGGTAGGTTACTGAAAGCAGTGAAGAGTTTTTACGAGGGATAGTTGAGGCTCAAAGTTAGAGTATGTAGGAAAGAGGGGAAATTTACTTCCCAGTGAAAGTAGGCCTTAGACAAGGATGTGTGATGTCACGTGGTTGTTTAATATATTTCTAGATGGGGTTGTAGAGAAGTAAATGCGAAGGGTTTGGCAAGAGGCGTTGAGTTAAAAGCTAAAGAATCAAAATTAAAGGGGGAGTTGTCACAGTTGCTCTTTGCTGTGACACTGTGCTCTTGGAGATTCTGAAGAGAGTTGCAGAGTTTGGTGGATGATTGGTAGGGTGTGCAAAAGAAGAAAATTAAAAGTGATACAGGGAAAGAGTAGGTTATGAGGGATAACAAAAAGATTAGGTGATGAAAGATTGGATATCAGATTGGGAGGGAGAGAGTATGGAGGAGGTGAATGTATTCAGATATTTG